TCCACCAGAATAACCAAGAAAATGTTTATTATAGCTAACAATTATATGCTTAGTTCACAAATCAGAGTTTCAAAGTACAAATCCTCATTGTACTTAAGTCTTATCTTCAAGATAGTAAAGTTGGGTACATAGCAGCACAAGTGCTGACATATGTTCTGCTGTCATGCTAACCATTAAAAGTCTGAGATGACAACTTGCCTTTCCAGATTCCATACTGTATTGCAAAGCTTAGCTGGAAATTGGAAAGCTCCAGAGCACTCACTCAGACTTGTATCCAATGTTCATCTGACTTAAGTTCCATACATTTCAGTGAGCTTGCTCAAAATAGGGCTAGCATTGAATAGAGCCCTCCGTAGTAGGAGGCAATGAAACCATTTTCACTACATACAGCCAAATACAATGGCTTCAATGCAATCAGAGTTTGTTGCACTCAATTCCCGTTGGAATTCCTGAGTGAGCTGGTAAACCACAATGATTTTTGTTGATTCTGAATTTATTAAGCATAACCAAATTTAGCTGGACTGGTACTGGCCAATGAGTGATAAGGGACATCAATGGTAGGTAGTGTGTATTTGTGTGGTAAAGTTGTGAAAATTCAGGCTGCAATCTAGAGAAGGCAACTGCATGTATGCTGATTTCTGTACACAGTGCTTAACACAAGTGTAATCATGCAGCTTTCTGAGGACAATGTCAGGATGTTTTTTGCATCCTAGCACACATTGATAGAACTAATTGCTGTTTATCTCTGCTTATGCAGCACCATCTGTTGAAATGAGAGTTGCAGCTTTGGAAGAGTTTTATGCTTTCTTAAGCAATAAATATAGTTATGGAACTACAGAAACTCTGAACTAAGAGCCAGAATGATATGGTGACTAATGGACTTAGACCAAGGAGGCCTTGGTTCAAATACGCACTCAGACGTGAGGCTTATGGGGTGCTGTAGTAGTTTAGAGTCTCTCTCTCTTTCAATTTCAGCCTAATCTATATTACAAAATTGTGAAGGTAAAAAGGGGGTGAGAAAAGAGACCACCCTGAACTCTTCGGAAGAAGGGTGGGATAAAAACAAATAGTATTAGTGCAAAAGCACTGGAAGCAGCCAGCTAAACTTAGTTGTGCAGCTGCTAATGTTCTGTCCTGGCTATCGCACTTTACACATGCAAGTAGATGTTCGTACAACCAATATGATGTACATAATTCTTGAGGGTGCAATCCCATGCATGTTTAGACAGAAATAGATCTACAGCTCGCAACATCCGCTAGCCCACTATGTTGATCAGGGCATGCTGTGAGTTACAGGTCTTTTTTGTGCCTTCACTTGCATAACATTATACCTTTAGATGAGGAAGTTTGCTGACTGGCCAGTCACTGGTTGATACTATTTTTAAAAAAGAAAATGCAATAAATGATTTCTTTATTTTCCACTCTGTGCCTACAATTTTATGTGTAATGAAAATAGGGAGGGTATGGGACCAGTGAAATGAAAGCAGAACATATGAAGATGTCTTAGGCTACTAGCCTAGGCAGGTTTACTCAGAAGTAAGTCCTATAGCATTTACTCCTACTTAAGTATGGATAGGATTGTAACGTTAGTTTTCATACAGTTTCAGGAAGCTCAATCAGATTTGTTCTTTCTCTAACTTACCCTGTTTCTAAACATGGTTTTCCATAATTTAGAGCACCAATAGGTCCTTTAGTAGGCACAACTTCAAATGAGAGGAAAGTGTTTAGGTGAAAATGTGTAAATTAATTAGATCAGTTCTTGGGCATATTCAGGATTTAACCCATAGCAAATCAGTATGGGTTAAGAAAATGCCTTGTGATTATATTGATGAATACTTATAAAAATGTCACCTTGGGATGAACAGTTGTACTTTCTTTGAGCCCAGTATTTTGTGTTGTCATGTATTGTTAGTAAATTTAATTGACTCTAGTCAATGTGGATTATGAAGCAGTATGATCAAATGTTTTCTGGTCAATAGGGCAACAGGGGAGGGCTGTCCCCTATTGACCACATAAGGCAACCTGCACAGGAATATTACAGACTGACCTAATGCACATTCATATTTTAAGTGAGATTATTATATAAGTTAACTTACAAAACTAGCACATTTTAAACCTGTGTGCTGTTTTAACTTACACTTTGGAGCTGGAGCTAATCAGTTTTTATTATTTTTCATGTATTTCATAGGCCTTCATTTTATTATCATTCTTTCTTTTTTAGAATTCCTCTTGCTTTCTCTTTTGTCTGTAACACACATGTATCTAAACTGTAATCTCCTCAGTAGAAATTTTAAATGATGGCTGCATGTATTCCACAGTTAAATTTATTTAGCATACTTATTCCTTTTCTTCACAATTCTGTTTCCCACAGAGAAACATCAAGGAAAACACGTGGTAAGTGTTTATACCATAGACTTTGGAAACTTTCTTCTTGGTGGGTATCTTCTTAATTTTTGAGAATACATTATTACTGCTCAGTAACCTGTATTAGCATCCTGTGGCTTTCCAGGTAAAATTCAAAGAGCTGATTTTATCCGCAGCATCCTAGATTGCACATCTGTTTGTTTATTTATTAATATAAAGCTACCTGTTTATGGTTTTGTGTAAGGCAAAAGAGGAGAGAATTAGAAGGATTTTCAGAAGAACTGAGGAGTAGTTTGGGGGAATATACTGAAGAATAAATATATTATTAGATTGAAAGAATGTTTAGAGAAAATGAAGAGCAAAGAAAAGATAAAGGCAATATTAGGAGAGGGTAATGTAACTTGGTATAACATATTTCAGTTAGAACAATGGACTAAAGTTTCCATATGTGATGTGAATGTGAATACATAAATAAATGGTTGGAAGTAGTTTTCAAAGAAATTAGTAAAATATTGAATGTAAACATTGAAGTAGACCCTGCACTAGCATTAGGACCCTATTTAGGGAATGAGTGGGTTAAAATATTTAAAAAATGACAAATTTTCTAACAGCAGTAAGATTACTAATAGCAAGGAACTGGAATGTAAAAGGTGATTATCAAATAAATGATTGGTATAAAGAATTTTGGGATATAGCCATTAATGATAAGTTAACTTCCAATATTAAGTGGAAGAAAGGTTTGAGGAGTAAAAATTATTTGAAGATATTTAGAGACCAATTATTGAATATAAATATGTTTTAATAAAGGGAAAGGGGAATGAGCCATCACAAGATTCAGTGCAGTTCTGGAAGGGGAGTGGGAGTGGAACAACCTGAATGGATAAATGACTTTACATTAAATAGCAAGTATCTGTTGGTCCTGGTGGAGGTAGCACTGTAATTATTGTATTGTTTAAATATGTTCATCATTACTATTTTATTTCTATTGTTTTATATTCATGTAACTACAAGTTTTATTCTTGTTAAAATTCAATAAAATTATAAAAAAGAAGAGAGAGGATCATAAAATCCTTAAAATCTACTCTATTTATTTAACAATCCCTTGGCTGTCTGGGTAGGAATTGTATGCCATTTAATGTAGATGATACACTTTCCTGCTGAATACTTAATTATTTATTAGATTTGTATATTATCCAACTGGCAAGAGCAAAACTAATACCATATTAAACATCAAAATATTAAAGACATTGAGAACCCAATAGTAAAATTAAGCAAGTAACAAAGCAAAGGTTAAATGCCTGCTTTAAAAGGACAATCTTAACTTGGTGGCTAAATGTAAGCAGTGAAGATGCCAGGCAGAGCTCCCTGGGAAGGGTATGCTGTAGAAGGGGGCCACTGCAGAAAAGGCTCTTTTCCTAGTAGCAACTGCTCCCACCATTGTAGGGGGTAGGACACAGAGAAGAGTGTCCAAGCACAGTCTTCCTGATTGGAGCATATTGGAGAAGGCACTCCTTCAGGTAGACTGGTTCTCTCCAGGGTTTAGAGTTTTAATGTAATCAAGTAAAATGTTCAGACTGAATCTGTTTAAGCTATCTATCTATCTATCTATCTATCTATCTATCTATCTATCTATCTTATCACATTTGTATGCTGCCCAATTATGCCACAGCACCTCTTTATTTAATTTAGTAATTAAAATAGTAATTTGATTGTTACTATTTTTAAAGCTACAAGCTATGGTGAAGAGCTTAAGCTTCTGAATCCTGAGGATCAGCTTCTCTCTGTTCTTCCTGCTCTGCATTGTTGGTGGGCAGCCATTTTCAGTTGTCTGGCAACAATATTTCAGCGTGGGGGCCAAGGAGGTTGGAGTGGCTTCGGGATACCTCACATCCTGGCCGCTCCTGCTTCCACGCTTCCCCATCTCCCAAAATGCCTCTTTCACTCCTTCGGCAAGGCTTCTTTCCCAGCTGTGGGGAGCAGCTAACACGCCTTCTTCCATGCTGGTTGTAAGTGGGCATGGGAAGGAAGAGCCTGCGCTGTCCAGTCCTGAAGCTGGGAACCTGAACAATCCAGTGATCCCCTCAGACACTGCAATGCAAGACACTGGCTTCCCAATTCAGCTGGTTTTTTGCAGGTAGTTCTCTGGCTTGTTCTAAAAAATGGAACTGCCCTCCTACCCAAAGACTCGCATGCAGGGAAAGTTCCAAGATGTGGATGAGTGAAAGAACCCTTATTTCCAACCTTATGTGTGTGTGTGTGTGTGTGTGTGTGTGTGTGTAACGATGTGGTTTCCTGTGATGTTCTCTGCCTCATTTTTCCTCCCTTGCCATTATATTTATTCCCTGGCATAGGTAGGCAAACTCTTCGTCCCAGGGGCACATCTGGAAATTTGAGAAACAGTCCTGGGTACAGTCATAAAATGCTTGCTGTGGATGGGCATAGCTAGATGCAAAGGGCAAGTAGCCTAGAGACACTTGTGGGAAATTAAGATATAGCAGCTAGATTGTTTCACTTTCAAGCCAGGAAGAAAATAATAATAAAATTACAATTGGAAGAAGTAAGTTATTTATCCTACACACATTCAATAGCATGATAAGTATTGTGGTTCATATTTTTCTCTTTTTCTGCTCCCTCAGCCAGGTTGTTTTGGCTACCCACTCAGCATCTTCTTCATAGTCATCAATGAATTTTGTGAAAGATTCTCCTACTATGGAATGCGAGGTGACTTTCTCTCTACTGTCATTTAATGCTTCTGGCTGTATTTGCAGAATGGCCCCTCCAGTTACTTGCCTTGTTTTCTTCCCACAGCTGTGCTTGTTCTCTACTTCAAGTTTTTTCTCCACTGGGATGACAATCTTGCTACAGCCATTTACCATACATTTGTTGCCCTTTGCTATCTAACGCCTATCCTTGGTGCAATTATTGCTGACTCCTGGCTCGGAAAGTTCAAGTGAGTAAAATTTAGGACACCAAAATAATTCTGTACAGCTGAATAGAATGAATATTCAGATGTATTAATTAATTAATTCACATATTTACATGCCTCCTATAACTGCCAGAACGGTTTTGTAGGCTATACTGAGCTAAATGAACCCTATAGACTGATTCTAAGGCAACTTCCTATGTTATTGCTTTTCTAAAATGTTTTCCTCAGGATTTTATGAGCAACAGATAAATAAGTTTTGCTGTCTTCATTTAGTGCTTTAGCAAGTTATCTGTGACAGTGCCCTATTTTTGCCGCCTTCTGAGCTGTGTAATTGCTTTTTAATAATAGAAAATTGCCCCACTGCAGCAAATGTAATGTTAGGGCAGAAACTGGGTTTTACGCACAGTGGGTGCATACAGGTTGGGAGTTCCAGCCACTTTTGCATGTATGTTTAAAGATGCACATTTTCATTGTCCACAGTCTGTGTAACAAACCTTATTGCTATACCTTATTGCTATACCTAAGCTTCTGTTTCTCTTCAACAAATCTATAGTGGATTTGCCTAGATGAAACTACATTCCATTGAAATCACCCTGTTTATATTCAAACACTGTTAGTACATATACTAAATTAGGACAAACACACTTAGAATCAAGTTAGTAATTTTCACTGTATTTTCCATATTTGTACATTCAGATGTAGAGGCTGTGAGCAAATAGTACAAAAATAGCTAAGCAATCAAATACTGAATTGACATTCAGTGATAAGTTCACTGTTTACATATGTTCAGTAATAATATGCTCACTTTTTGTTATTCTTGGATTCATATTCAAGAAAGAAAGAAGGGTTGTGCCATTAAAAATACATCTTCTCTTTGCTTTCTTCATAACAGGACCATTGTTTACTTGTCCATTGTGTACACGGCTGGGCAAGCAGTCCTGTCAATAAGTTCCATAAATGATTTGATGGATGGAAATCGGGATGGTGTTCCAGATAACGTTAATGTTCCTGTGTAAGATGCAACTCTTATTTTTGTCTTCTACATGAATGCTCATTGGGACGTATTAGAAATTCAGTGTACCACAAATCCTCTGATTACTGTGGTTTTAATTGTCATAACCTTGGTTCCTCTCTTTGTATCATACTGTTATCCTTATAATATAGCAATGTCCAAGGAATTTTATTACACATATTGATAAAACTGAAAATCTGCTGATGGTGGAAGAAATGCGTCAGTTACCATGTTTTGGTCATGCGGTGTAAAGAACTTGCCTGACTTAAAGCTCAAACTTGGTAGCGTTTGCTATCACTTTACAGAAGAAATGGTGTACTATATAGCCCATGCATGCAAGCTTGATCAGAGGCTACTTTTAGTTTTTTCACTGTAAGGCACCATGCATTGCTAGGAGGTATGCACAAAAAGAGGAGGAAATTACAGGTTCGTAGCAATAATTTAAAAGAGGCTCATGTGAACCTACAGAATCTTGCATTTTCATATTTACTTGCCAATGAAATTTGTATAGTGCATATCTTTCTACATTATACATCTTAGCATACTGTGTTTTCCATTATGCACTGTTCCCTATTTAATGGGTTTGATTTTTCTTGCTTTTCTAGAAGATCTATTTTTTCCGTATGCTTGTTAGTTTGCGCAATGATGTATGAATCGGTTTACAGAGAAAATGTTTCATTGTATACTGTTGCGATAGTTAGGACTAAACAACATTCTGTATTGTTATGTAGCCTGCAGATAATACCCAACATTTTGTTTACTTGAGTTGAGCATGCCCTGGGTCTGATCTGGTGCAGGGCACTGCATGTGAATAGGGGAGGTGTGAAGTTCCCACCAAAACACTTCATCCTCCCCCCCAAATTTGCCCCCCCCTTTTCACTGCAGGCCTAAAAAGGGGGAGGGAGGGAAACTCCACTGGCACCAACAGATATTGATTTCTTTCTGCTAGTATCCATGTTCATAGGGTGAATTCTGGAGAGAAAGTGGCTAGCTGGGAAGATTAAAATTCCCCTACCCATGTATACTGGTCATAATCCAAAGCAGACCCCTGTGTGCATACAGTAAGGTAAATAAATGATGAGGGTCCACTGCATAGTACATATTTAGCATAGCATGGCTATGTGAGTAATTGATCTAAAATGCAAGCCATGGACACATACTTGGAATTTTCATTATGGGACTTACAGGAAAGAAGATCCATGTGATATATGAAAGAAGTCCTGAATACAGAAGTTAGACATGATTTATTCTTTTAATGCTATTTTAAAAGCAAAATCCAACTTGATTTGCACCTCTAGTACTGGCCATTCACATCCTTAGTGATTCGTGCTCAGAATGATTATATAGACCATGTGCTTTAACCCACATGAGATCTTTAGACATCACATTATATGTCTATCAGCCATTTCTCACATAACACATTTGCAAACGCACCTGAAACCAGAAATATCAAGAGGACAGGTTGTGGTTCTCCATTCATTAGCTTCAGTTTCTCTATTTCCACCCTTTCAGTGCTTTGTCTATGATTGGCTTGATCCTTATTGCATTTGGAACTGGTGGCATCAAGCCTTGTGTCGCAGCATTTGGTGGAGATCAGTTCGAAGATAACCAGGTATAATAGCATTGTTACATTTTTCTCTTACTCTGTAACTGGTGATAAGTTTCAGGATGCAATGCTTACCTCAGGTTGTGTTTTAAGGAGAATTGCATAATACCTGTTTATTTACAAATATATCGCCTGAGCATATCTTTCTAAAAGTTACTCATATTGCAACTGCAGAGAGAGAGTGCGCCCTCCGAAAGTCACTTCGAGGCATGCTGTCTCCCTATCTCCCTTCCTCCCCACTCTCTCTCTGAGTCTTCCGCAGATACCTGCAGTCTGTCCCCCAAATGCTTCTGTTGTTTTCCCACTCCAATTTGTCCTTGCATGGAACAGGCAGAAGATAGGACAATATGGCTGCTCTCTTCAGCTACCTGCTCGTCTTCCCAGGTCAACCTCTTTAACAAACATTGTGTGTGGCAGCTTTGCTGTTGACTCTTAAGAAAGGTTTGTAGCCATAGTGCTCCATTAGCACTCTCTTCTCCAAACATCACAAATGTACAAATGCAAATTAAATGATGTAGCATTTGCGTTTCAACTGTTGTAACAGTTTTGCAACACTATACTTATTTATAGCAGCTCTGTGTTTTCACATTTTCAATGTTAAAGCTAAACATGTATATGGCTGAGCACGTGACCTTTCTTCTTTGGTCAGATGCAACAACAGACAGTTCTCTGTTTTATCAGACTATGTTCTCCTTTGCATTTCAGGAAAAACAAAGAAGCAAGTTCTTTTCTATATTTTATCTTGCCATCAATGCTGGAAGTCTTATTTCTACCATAGTCACTCCAATTCTTAGAGGTAAATTTTGCTCTAAGGAGCCCCAAAGTCAGTCTGGAAGTTCTGGGGAAACAGCAAAAAATGGGGGAGGGAGCTCATCAGGTTTTCAGGCCTTTTAAAGAAAAAAGTAAATTGTTTTTAATGGTTTGTTTGTTAAAAGCAAACAAATAGCAACACACACCTCTTGACACCTGGATACAAGTGCAGTTCTAATAAAGTGTGGGTGTATTTCATTTTATATTGTTTCTTATTGAATACTTTCCCCCCATTAAAAGTCTAACATCAAGGTGAACTTTCTTAAGGAGTATACACAAGGAGAGGCTATGTGGTATAGTAGTTAGAGCATTGCATTGTGATTTGGGAGACCTGGGTTCTAGGGACTGTGTACGCTACCTGAGGAGCTGCAGCTAGGAACAAATCAAATCAAGTTATTCATTACAGTCACAGACCAGCCTGGCTAGGAACAGGTCTGCAATAAATAGAGACACCCCTGACTCCAGGAGCGAGGATCCCTTTCTGCTCATGCAACAAGGCCGTACTTGGATCCAAGATACTGGCTTCGCATCGTGTCAGGACTATCGTTAACTGCAATTAGCTTAGCCTGTGCATGGCAGTGTAGAAATGGCTTGGCCAAAATAATGACAACTGAGCTGTGTTAATAAGATCATTAATCTAGTTTAATTGATTGTAAACAAAAAGTAACTGAAACAAATGCTAATAAAGCACAGTATATTATCTTAACTTTACAAAGGAAGAGGCCTTTATTCCACACTGAGAATCTTTGCCCATCCAGAACCCAAATAGGATCCCTAAGATCTGTCATTCAGTCATTCATACTTTGATTGCCTGGTAAGCTCTTCATCATCAGAACTTGATAGGTAAAACAGCTTGCAGAAGATTCTGGTTCAGAAAAGAGGCGGGATGATGCCTACCATGTGTTTCTCTGATTTAGGGGAAGAATGTGGAATTCACACCAAGCAAAAATGTTACCCTCTGGCATTTGGTGTTCCTGCTGCACTAATGGCTGTGGCGCTGAGTAAGTTACAGACTTTCAAAAACATTCTTTTACCCCACATATTTACTATAATTTTTCTGTACTAGTCTAATCATAAAGTTTAAGGTGCAGACACTCATCCTAACACCTCTCAACACCCTTGCCCCAAGGAGACAAATGCATTGTCCCCCACTAATGCAGAAATTGTATCGATCCATTATATATAGTTATAGACCTGGCTTGGATGCCATGACAACTCACCATGTTTTATTACCATAGCTGGGTTGTCGTATTGTATGAACAAAGAAGGTGGATTGTTTTTCCCCCAAGCAGCCCACCTTTTGGGTTGTTCTAGGGTTGTGGTCATCCATGGTGCATTAGCATGTCACCTAACCTGGAAGACATGACCCACCTTGGATGAGAGCCAAAAGCTCGTGGCAGGAGCAGCAAATACTGCTGCTGCCGCTGCTTGGAGAGCCCTGCAGAGCCTAAATGGCACCTGGGAGCTGCTGTTGGAAGCTTTGCCCTGCGTGCCATGCCATGGAGGGGCCATCTCTGATGGTGACTCTGGAGCACACCTCTCCAACCACCAGCCAGGAGCTGCTCTGCTGGGCTGCCCTATCCTCAAGAAGAGACCTTCAGGCAGGAAGTGGGAGCTGGCCATCTGCTCCGTCGCACTGGTCCATGCTTGAAGCAGCACTGCTGAGCCAGTTCGGCACCCTGCCACTTGCTCCAGAGGGAAAAGAAGGTGGAAGCACCCAGTCAGCTCACCTCCCTGCTGAGCTTCAGGGCTCCAGCCCTGTTTGCACTATGGAGGAAAATAGTTCTTCATTGTGGCCTCTGTGCATTACACATATGGGTGCTGCGCCTTCACCAACAGTGTTTCTGCCCTGAAGCATGATGGTGTCAGCTTCCAGCCTCAGCTGAGACAACTGATAGAAAAGAGCGTGGAGGGAGGGAGCAATGTATCCATAATGGGTCCAATTATCTGTTGGGGTCATCATGGGCATGTAGCAAAATGACCCACCCACCTTGGGTTTTTGCTTCTCCTCAGCCATAGTGTATAGGACTGGTGTCAAGTGTAGGCACCTCTTGAGTGTCCACAGCCTAGTGGCGACCCACTGACAAAAGCCCTTCAGCATGGCTTCTTCTCCTCACTATTGAACCTACCTAGCTGACTGAGTCCTGTCTATTTCTGAGGCTAAGCAAAAGCAGTCAGGGCTTCATCTTAGCAGAGAGGATTAAGAAGCCCCTTGTTCTTCCATCAACCATGTTATTTTCCTTGCCAAATTGCAGCTTCAGTAGCTTCATGTGTAGAACATAACAATGAAACCATACATTATGTATACCTCTATTCTTAGTCTGAGAGCTAGCCTAGTGAGTGATTCCTGGCTGTGGTTACTCACTAGTTAGGAAAATACACCTTCTGTAAACTTTGCAGCCACACCTCTTACTTCTATTTAAAGTCTTCCAGTGCTGAGCTGTAGCATTACAAGAGGTTCTGGAGTACTACCAAAGGAGCTGTTACTTAAGTTAATCCTTCTTCTCTGGAAGGCTTTTAGAGAAAGAAGGAAGAATGGGTGCATAAACTGTGGAAAGGAGTAAGGGGAGAAGAAGAGAATTGGAGTGGCTAAAATGGGATTGAAAGAAGAGATTTCCTCAATTGTGCATGTGGGAGGTGGGGCAGCTAGCAATATATACATCACATAGAAATATACTTCAGATTTTCTGCAGAAACTTAAGTCCCCTTCAGCAGGAACAACTTTAAGTTTCCAGTGACTAGAACATTAAACATTTTTGTACCTGTTCTGCTTGCAGTGATGTGAAAACAGCTCCAGGGAATTAGTCAGTGTTAGTAACAAAGGTAATGTTTGTAGGCAGTCCAAAGTCCAAACTCAAGGAATTCCAAAATCAGGGAAATATAAACCTGGAAACTCTTACACAGACATTGTTCTAATACTTTGTATCTGGAAACTAAGTCTTTTAAGACTTCTTCCAAAGTATTGTTTGACATCTCCTTCTGAGTTCAAGAAGGGAATGGTTATGCATTAAAGAGAGGGAGTAGCTGGCCATCTCCAGAGAGGACTACAGAACCCTCAAAGTCCCTCAATACAGGCAGATCCACCAAGATGGTTGGCTTAGGGGCCCTCAACGCATCATCCAAACAGGAGTCCCTCACTGGAAGCATGGCAGTACCTACATAATGATGTTCCTACCTATACTTACTGGAAAAGCTCACTCTAGAATACTGGCCTCCTATATAAAGTTCTTGGTGAAGAACTGAACTGAATGTAAGTCAGGTTTGATACTACACCTAGCCATGCAGAGTTGTGAAAGCTTGTACGGCATTTATTTATTTAAAGCATTTCTATGCCACCCCATTCGCAAAAAGCCTCGGGGCGGCTTACAAAACAGATCATACAAATCATTACAGATCATACAGGCATCTGTATGATCAGTCAAATAATGCAACAGATTTAGCAAATATTGGTGCTATTTCTTTCCGCAGTGGTATTCATAGCTGGAAGTAGAATGTACAAGAAAGATAAACCTCAAGGCAACATAATGGTCCAAGTTGCTGCATGCATTACGGTAAGCAATGTACAAAGCAGGGCTAACATTCTTTTTATTAGTTATAATCTTTATGTTTTCATTTTCAAAAATATTACAACTGTACAAGTATATTAAAATGTGTAATATAAATCCCTATGTCCTGCCTCTCCCCAAAATACTCTGTGTGAACAAGTTTAATTCCAAAAAGTTAAGTAGCAGTAAAGTTTGTGCGTTGGATTTTGGATAGCTGTGATTTCTGAGCTTTTCTGGGGAATATGTCATATTTAAAATTAGCTGCTCTGTGAGATTCAGGAATCTGGTAGAATGAGGAAAAACTGTGATGACTTGATCAAGTAAAATGGATGACTTGATATTGAAATTGACCAGCTGACTACATTTCCCACTTTGTCTTTCAGTTAAGCCTAACATTCTCAAGCTTATCTTTGCCTGAGCTTGATTCTGATACAGAAAGCGTAGTTCATTTTGAATTTAAATTGGAACAGGGAATGATTCCACTTCTCAGATACACAGTACATACCAGGGGTGGCCAGACTTGCTCAACAGAAGAGCCACATATGTTAAATGTCAGATATTTGAGAGCTGCAAGCAGGTGCCCAGAGGTGGCAGCAGTGGGTGGCGAGTGGCAAGCAGGTGCCCAGGGGTGCCCACAGTGGCGAGTTGCAGAAGAAACTCAAAGCAGCACATGGCTCCTGAGCCTTGGTTTGCCCACCCCTAGTAGATGCCCTTTATTCGGTGATCTGCTGATTTCATAGCTTTTTTTAAGAACTGAATAATCAGTTCCTACAAAATTGATTTTCTGCACTAACAGAATATTCCCGTTGTATGATATTGAAGCATAATTGTTTTGGCATAATTCTTCCAGGCTCATCTTATGTCCTAAATGTTGCCTGGAATCATTAAGAACATCTAAATTAGGGATAGAGAACATGAAGGGAGCATGTGGCCTCCTGATCTTGAGTGGAACCCCTGTCCCCAAATTGCCATCACTTCTATGGCAGCATGGTGGACTAAAAAGGCCAAATTTAGATTTAAACCCAGGAACGTGCTGAGAAACTGGATAAGGTAACGTTTTTCTTCCTATCTCATAACAGAAGTTAAGATCATCCAGTGAAAGTAAATAGTATGAGAAGTACTTCACACAATACATTCTTCAATTATGCTAGTAGAAGACAACTGAATTCAATGGGTTTACAGGGGAATTAGACAGATTCATGGACCATAAGGGTATCAATAGCCACTGGTCATGCTGGCTAGATTCTGCCTCCAGTATCAGAGGCAGTATGCCTCTCTGGTGTGGGGGAACATGATCAGGAAGGTGCTTTGTGAACATGTCCTGCTGGGGGGCAGCCCAGAGGCATCTGGCCACTGTGCAAACAGAATGTGGGGCTGCACATGCCTATGGTCTGATCAGATACAGCTATTTTTATGTTCTTACGACAGTTGCCACATACAATTTTTTACACATAATGTTGCTATTTCAGTCAGGTAAACTGGGAAACATATCTGCCCCCACTCACAAATACTTGTGAACATAAATAGAGAAAACATAATAGCATTAAAAGTTTGCTAATGGTCTCTTTCCAGTTTGCTGTCAAGAACCGTTTTAGACATCGCAGTAAACAATACCCCAAGAGGGAGCACTGGATGGACTGGGCTAATGAGAAATATGATGTAAGTTGTTTGAATAGTGCTTTAAAAATGATCAATTTAATAATGTTTGCCTTGATACTTTAACTTTACATAGACATGTTAAGTGACATGCTTTCTGTCAAAGCTGTCCAAAGCAGCACCAAAGCCTTTTGTTAAGGCGTGTTATTTTCTGTAGCTTAGGATTTCTCTGTGTGCTTATAAAATATATCAAATCTCTCTGCCTCTCAGTTGATTGGACAGACACCAGCTCTTAAATGCGGTTTGAACCTACACATTTTAGAGATTTAGAAAAGTGATGCAACTAGAATCAGATTAATGGATGGAGTACCCTGTGTGTAAATAACACTTGGAACCTTAGACATCTCTGAGTCACAGCCAATGCAACTTCCTCCACAAATTCCACATTAGTTGCAAAAACACTCAGAAAGAATTTCCCTCAGTTATATCTGCCAATTCTAGCTAGGCAAGAGTAACTTACTAGGTTGATATGTGAGATACAGACAGAAGCAGTAAATGCAAGCAACAGAAGCAGTAAATTCAAGCAACAGAATCCTATGTCAAATTTGCCTTACTTGAAATGGAGACCAGGTCAGTATACTTTGGAGAAATTCTTGTTTGGAAGAATTGTTGTTCCAAATTTGGACTTTGGAAAAATTCTTGTTATAGAATCTACAGTGGAATTGACATGCTGCTTCATAGGCAAGCCAGGGCCAATTCTCCGTAGTGTTCCCATGCTGTGCTGTCTAGTTTTGTGATGTGGGGATAACTGTGGTTTTGCATGCCCACCATATCATGCTGCATTTGCATTTTAACTAGCTTGAAGCCTTACCTTCTGGCTTACTTGATGTGATATTAATCCTATGTTAATGCTCCTTCCTCACCTGTTCCATAGTTACTATTCCCTCACACCTTTTCAGTAGCCATTCTGTTCAGGAGGCCAGATCTGTTGCTTTTGCCCATGCTGATCTTTATATAATAGACATTGTTGGAGGTTCTCTGACAGAGAATATTTCCAGAAAGGGTTTTTTAAAATTAATATTTGTTGTATTGTTCTTTTGTTACAGAAACAACTTATTGCCCAGATTAAGATGGTCTTGAAAGTATTGTTCCTATATATTCCTCTTCCCATGTTTTGGGCACTTTTTGATCAGCAGGTAACTTTAAAAAATGATTCACTGTTTCTTAAGGCTGTGGTAGTGTCCTGGGTTTCCTTGCCGCACACATGTCCCCATCTTACAAATCTAAGTTAGGATGTAGGGTTAGATATTCATCTTTCATTTTAAAATATTTCTGTATTACAGGATTGAGTTACAGCTGGCAAAATCATTGGGGGAAAAAATCAAATAGTACATGTGATCTGAATAGCAGAAGGCAGAGCTGATTCCTCTGTATTGATTGTTTTATCACATTTGATTTTCGGAGCATTTTTACTTTCTGAAAGCTTATTGGTCAGCAAGAACTTCTTAAAATGACCTTTTCCTGCCTTTGGGGAAGTCTCTGTCGAAGTTGTTTTTTCTATTTTTTACCTGTTCTTTACAATAGTGACCCAAGATGTACAGCTGAAGCAAATATTTTTGAGGATGTTTAGTTGCAATTCTTTTAGGCACTTGTAATGTTTTCTAGGGATCACGATGGACACTACAAGCAACAACCATGGATGGAGATTTTGTAAGTTATTTTTTAAATTCATGCACCATGACTGAGCTCTGTGGGATGTGACTGAAGAAGTGTTTATGCATGAATAGTTCTGCATCCCATTTGATGTATGCCCACAGTTCCTACCCAAGCATGTTCAAACCTACACATATATCATAGAAACTGCTAGCTAGATTGGGGTAATGATACTTAAAACTTTAACTTGTATTTCAATAGTAAAATAAACATACTTCTCTCTCTGTTTCCTTTAGGGCTTCTTTCAAATCCAGCCAGACCAGATGCAGGTGCCGTAAGCTTTTCATTCCTGTTTCCAGCTATTTCTAATAGACATGTTTAAGTTGTTTGAAGATTCCTAATGTTGTTTCTTTTTAAATTCAACAGACTGTGAACCCAATTCTCATTATTATAATGGTCCCAGTTGTAGATGTTGTGATTTATCCCTTAATTAAGTTATGTCGCATAAATTTCACGTAAGTGAATGCAGGTTTGGGGATTGTACTTACAATTTACTTTTACTTCTAACATGTACAACAGTGAATGGCAACATAAGAGGTGGTGGTAGGAAATGAATAGTGTGTCTGGGTTTACACTATCCCAGTGTACATGATCTTGATTTGTCAATCAGAGTCCAAAGAGGAAGGAAAAAAAGAACATGTATTTGTGGCCAGGGGACAAGGAAACAGTTGGAAAAAGCAGCTTCCTTCTGATGGTGCAGCTTAATAAAATTAAGTAACAATCAGCCCATCAGAACTGTGGAGACCTAATTTTGTGATGTTTTGTAAATCTTGCTGCTTTATAAAGAAATAAACTTGACCTCTTGCATGTGTGATAGGCCATGGTGTCCCCACAGAGCACCCATTTAAGCAGTTGTGGGAATGGGGAAATATTAAGATAAATAAAAATAAAATAAATAAAGAAGTGGCATTTCTACAACCAAACATGTTTCCCCTAATAGACTAATGAAGAACTACTGTTAATACACAATCCTATGCAAGTTTAGACTGAAAAACGCCAAGAGTTTCCAGCCTGCCCCAGTTCCTTGAAGGCTTTTTTGTATATATTTGCATAGGAATGTGCCTTTACAAGACTAATTTTACTATGTGTAAAGGGACAATCATTAATCATTTTCAAAAGCATCATAAAAAGTGGGTTTAATAATAGTTGAAATATTTAAATATCTTAAATATCCATTTGCTCCTTCTGATACCAGGCCTCTGAGGAAGATGACAGTTGGCATGTTTCTGGCAGCTCTGGCTTTTGTTGCTGCTGCTTTGGTGCAACTACAGATAGATGTAAGTTAACCACAGGGCTTCCTAGTTTTCTTTTTAAATTGTAATAAAGATTAGCAGTTTAAATTGCAAGTGGCTTAAAGGAACAACACTAATCTTGTTTAGATAAAAAAGGGTCTTACAGATAGAGAGCCAGTGTTCTAGTCCACACTTGGTCATGAAGCTCCTGGGTGAAGGTGCCATTTACTAATTCATAGCTTAGCTCAGCTCACAGGATTGTTGTGAGATTAGAAAAGGAGAAAAGAAAGAGCATTATGTTCACTGCATTACACTGCTTGGAGTAAAGACAAGATATAAATTAAACATAATATTTATTTATTTATTTACTTATTTCAATGCAACCTGTAGCTGAATCTCTCTGGGTGGTTTACAATGAAGTATGAAAACAATAAAAATAATAGATTAAAATCATTGACAAGAATGAAAAATTCTTGTGAATGAATTAGAATAGCAAAAAAAAAAAAAAAAAAAAATCAGTAAGACAGTTTAAAAGACATGGCCAAGAATAAAAGAAAGACACCTGGATAACCATGTACAGCCCTTGAATGACCAGGGAGGTCTTGAAAGGTCTCTGCAAAGAGGGCTGTCTTAACCAGGTGCTGAAAAGACGACAAATTTTGGTACCAGGTGGGCTGCAACAGGGCAGTTTTTCCAAAGAAGGGGGGCCACCACAGAAAAACCCCTCTCTCTAGCTACCCTCTGAGTCTCACAAGGGGTTGGCATCCGGAGGAAGGCCCCAGAGGTTGTGTTTAGTGTCTGGGTAGATTGGGGGTGGGAAAGGAACACCTATAGGTATTGTGGTCCCAAGGTGTGTAGGGCTCTCATAGGTTAATACCAGCACCTAAAATTGGGATCAGAAGCCCATGGGCAGGCCAGAACCAATCTTATATGTTCAGACCTCTGGGTCCCAGTTATCAATCTGGTATTCTGCCCCAGCTGTAGCTCCTGAACTGTGTTCAAGTTCAGCAAGTGCAATATACTAATATAATACAATTAATAATAAAATAATACAAATATATAACAGAATAATTCTGTATTGCTCCATGTTTGACTATAGTTTTGGAGCATGCAAAAGATTCCAGGTTCAACTCTATGAATCTTCCCAGAGGAAGGGGAAATAGCAGCCAGCTTGTTAGCAAAGTGCGAAAAGCCAGTCTGGTTGGGCATGGCCTGGCAGGCCAAGCTGGCCCATGGGCCAGTAGTTTCCTATCCATCAGCTACAAGTAACATACACAAAGTGATAGTAGCATTGGTAGCTAAACTAGGTTAGCTGCTGAAAATAAGAATGTATATATAAATGCATATATAAATGTGGTAATTGGGGTTTTATTGTTGGTTGACTTTTTAGGACGCTGTGTTTTAAATTACTTTTTTTACATTTTGTATGGTTAAACCATCCTGAGACTTCGGTAATGGGATGGTCTAGAAAATAGTTTTAAATAAATATATAAATAAAATAAAGATGGGGACATTAAATGAATGAGTGGTTACAGTTTGTATGCAAGTTGTGCGATTGTAGTAGTCATTAGTAACATACAGCTTACTTATTATAATAATATGGCATAATTATTTTGGCTTAAATGAATGCTGTTATTTTCTTTTTATTTATTTATTTATTTATTTGGAGTTTTTGTATGCTGTCCCATTCGCATGAGCCTCGCGACAGCTATGTCCAATATAATTTTAGCCTTATTTGGCAAAATGACACTTCTTTCACCCTTCTTCCTTCACAGAAAACTCTTCCAGTATTCCCTGCAGCAGGCCAGTCTCAAATCAAAATAATAAATTTGGGGAATGAGTCTGCAACAGTTCAGTTTAGTGGTTTTCAGCAGTCATATACTGTGAAGTCTTTGGAATGGGTAAGTTTTGAAGATTATATTCATTCCAACAATCTTGAAAAGGGCCCCTCTGTCACATACAACAACTATTAATCATCCTTAAACATCTATATTCTGTTACCTTCCTCCAAAGCATTTACTCTTCTTAAAATATGATAATTTGGTCACTTCTCATATCTTGGAGCTGATGTTTCTATTAGAACGCATTCCAGAATAGCATTTTTGTTTTTTACTTTGAATAACTACATCCAGAGTAATTTGTGACTTTTTCAACGGGATTAAAGGAGATTTTCCTAATTATGTACATGAAACTATGAAAACACATGAGGATTAAAGCATGAGTATAAACAAATTCTGACTGTTTTAATTACAACAACTGATGAATCAAAGCCAGGTATGGGATTTTGTGCTTGCATTCCAGAACCAAGAAGTAGGAAACATACTTAAATGGTAGACTTTTAAGTACTCAGTAAATATATTCATAGTCATATGAAATGAATGCTAGCTGTTTCATTGTACATTCACTTTATTTTCAGACAGATTACATCACTTTTGACACAACAAAACTAAAAGATGTTGAGATAAGCTATGGAAATTCAAGATTGCAACAGGCATTTCAATTTGAGGGAAAACAACGTCACACTCTTCAAATAACAAATATGAATGGATTACAAGCCCAAATGGTAAATCTGCTTAAAGACTATTTAAAAAATCAGCCTCTTAAGTTCTGTTTTGATGTGTCCTTGAACAAATAAAATCAAGAAGTTCAATGCCAGGCAGATTGTACCATAGGAATAAGTGTATGGTTGATAGTGCAGTTATTTTCTGTGAGTGCATGTAATCATCTTTAAACATGTGAAAAATCCTGGACGAGAGATCATAAAGCAAATGTTAAAATCTAGGTGCCCATGTACAGATAATACTTGGTCAACTTCGTTGTCTCGAGGTAACAATCCTGTATATAAATTATCCTCTGAAAGAAACTGAAGAGAATCCATCCTGCACATACCTGAAAAAAAACAAGACCAGTACACACACAGTGCTGAAAAACTGTGTAACTGGCACTCACAGTTTCTGAAGCTACCTATGAGTTGATTCGAATCCTGTTAAATAGGGCACTTTGCTCCCTTTAACCATGATTAACATTGAAGTTAATGTAACACTTCAACACAGTTAAGGTTGGTACATTGTAAACAATCTGTATTCCAAAACAACACTTTTTAAATTGCATATGCATTAAAATGTAAAGAGTGAGTAATTGGGAACATTGTGCATGTGTTGCTTCAGAATGCAACATCTAGAACAAGAATTGTTTATGGATGCTTTATTTGATAATTACTTGTGCTGTGTATTCAGTTCAAAATCAATGATATTATGAAACATAACGCATATATCACAATATATCACAAAACATTCTAAAAGGAGCCTATTCTTGATCTAAGGGAACTTAACTATCACATATGGTGTCATCACAAATGTAAACTGGTATCTCTTCTATTAGGAATTGGATGGCATCACAGAAAAACCAGAACAAGGAAACAATCAGATCAGGTAATATACTTTACATTTATGTATTAATATTTAATACTATGAAGAGCTATTAGATATTAGCTTTTGTTCGGAGGAAAACTATGGCTGGAGCTAAATGTGGCAGACAGAGGGTTGTCTTACAACTGAAAAGAGTGCTGTGGTTTTAATGTCTTACTACTATGTGTGCAGTAATACTGACTTTCAGCACAATCTCCTCTCCATGTTTACTTCCTTAATTGTCTACTACTTATGAGGAAAGGACAGTTTGATGTAATGACATGTAAGGTGCTGAGCATCCTAAATACTGAGCAGTATCCTACATTGCCTCCATGGAAAGCAACTGGAACTCGCCATTTGTGAAGCAAGAAATAGGCTGAAACACCCCTTCACAGAATGAGGAAGATCAGCAGAGCTCCTTGTCAGGCTTTCAGCTTATTTCTGGTGCTGTTTCAGGAACTGCTAGCTCCTGTTACACTAGTGGCTGGTCCTGCAACAGAACTATTGGAGATAGGAGAAAAGTCTCATCTTCTCCTCCTTTCTTTTTGGCAACAGTTTTCACTTATTATAACATCTGAATTGTGGCCTCTTTAATCACATTGTTAATAAGGAGGGTTAAATATCTTATGACATTATTGAATACATAATACAGCAAATACATTTTGCTTTCTGTAAAACATATAAATTGAACTTAATGAATGTCAAAAAGGTGATATCAGCACTTAAGAAAGCGGTATAAAATGTGTGTTCAAGTGCCTGACAGTAACAGCTACAGAAAAAACAATAATAAAGATAAAACTTTGATCCTTACTCCCCAGATTTTCCCACTAAACACCTGACATTTGGCAGAGAGCAAAATCTCAGTCATCAAATAACTGTGCACAACTAGGAAACTGTTGGACATCAAGTATGGTATAGATGGGGGTGAGGGAACAGTAAAACAATAGGCCAGAATCTGGAACATATGTATTCTTCAAATGTTAGCATATTAAAGTTGCTTAGAAACATTAACTTGAAGTCTTTTCCCAAATATATGTGGAAACTACTGGTATTTCGATTAACCAACAGCTGAGGCCAAAGTCTATCAGACCTACCCCACACCAAGAGTCCACATTTAAACATGAAGAGTATTTCTGAATGGAGAGATCCTATCCCAGAAAATATTGTGCAGCCAGCCCATCTTATATTTTCTAAATGTATTTTCCATGATAAAAAAAGTTGGAAGAAACAGTGGGAAAAAATAGGAAGTTTTTAAGGGCATTATTGTTGTTGTCTGGACTCCCTTGTGCAGGAGTCTCGAACTCGCGGCCCGCGGGCCGATTGCCAGGATGGGCGGGGCACGGGGGAGGGCCCCTGCGGCCTTCAAAGCGCCGGCGGCACCTGGGCCAGCCACGGGATGAGCGGCCCACCACCACCGCGGGGGTGGAACACTTGATGCGGCCCAGCCTCACTCAGACTCTACTTCCAGCAGCCCCCAGGGAAGTTGAGTTTGAGACCCCTGCCCTTGTGAATTTCTGTGGTTGCACATCTGGAAGTGCCTGGAGATTCATGTAATTTAAATTAAATAATTTTGGACCTTATAATTTATTTTGACTATTACCATGAAAAATCATTTCACTTTAATCTCTGTTTTATCATCATTAAATGCCAAGAGCTTACTTTGCGGGGTGGGAACTGGAATATAAAATTAATTCTCTTCATCTGATAAACAGTATTGTTAAAATGCAACATTTATATTCATTTTTAAAAGATTCCTGAACAACTTAGATTCCGTTATTAATATCACTATGGATAATGTTAACTTTGAAGATGTGAAGAATTTCTCCACCACAAACTATACAGCTTTTCAAAGAGGAGAGTAAGTATTACTGGTATTTAATATCCCCTTATTTCAACATTCATTTGGCAAAATGGGCTCTAGTCCATGGACGCATACACTACAAGAAATGTGCTACAGCAAACCTGGGACTAGACTGAATGTCAGGGGGCAGATTTGTGATTCGATCTCTCAGCAGGTTTATTCACCTACAGTGGTACCTTGGCTCACGAACGCCTCAGTTCATGACCAAATCGGGTTGTGAACAGAAATGCCAGAAAAAAGTTGCCTCAGTTTGTGAACTCCGCATTGGGTGACGACCACGATCACGGCCATGTTGCCGCACAAACACAATCGTGATTGCAGCCATCTTCCCTGCACGAGCGCGATTGCAGTCGTGCTCGGGGGGTGGGGGAGAGAGATGGCCGCAATCGTGCTCGGGGGTGGGGAAGATGGCTGCGATCTTTGTTGTTCTTTGTCACTTTGCTTCAAATTTTTGTGATTAAAAAAAGAAAAGTTACAGAATGAATTAACCTTATTTACACTGAACCTTATGGGGAAATTTGACTTGGCTCACGACCAATTTGGGTTGCGACCAGAGTCATGGAACGGATTAAGTTTGTGAGCCAAGGTACCACTGTACTTTTAGTGGAATGCATGTACCAAGGGAGGTGAAGGGGTATTGACTATTTCCTGAACCACTTTTCTTATTTTTATAAGCCATTTGAGTTGTTCTTAGTCTTATGGGAAAGAAAAAATACATTGCATGGATCTATAGCCACCTTTAGAGAAGGATTTAAGCCTGGGAAAACAGTGTAGGTGGCTGAATAAAAGTAAAAATAACATAGATTAAATAATAAACTTCCTATGTAGTTCTAGGTCCAACAGGGTATTAATGCTAGTGGTTACCAAGACTATATTGGATCCTGTTCCGAAAGCTTATCAGTCCTGTGCATGTACACCCTGAAATGCTATGCATACACATAAAGCTTGAATCTTACATTCAGTTTTCATTTTGCCTTGAAATGAATCCAGTGATAAATTATTTTCCAATTCTTGTTTCTCCTTCATGTAATTGGGAGGTGGCAGGGGAGGGTTAACTGTTGTCTTCTGGTGTTTTCCATGTTATTTGCCCATAATGGCCCAGATATTCACAGCAGTCTGAAACACTGTGGGTTAATAAAAGGGTAGCCACCATGTTGGGGTGGGGTGGGGAGGCTGGAACAGAAGCTATGTTCCCCAATATGTTCTTGAGCAATGCAATTTCTAGGACATGCGGATAGAGAAAATGGTGGCTACCAGCAGACTTTCACTGTAGTTACAGGTGACAGCACTTCTGAATTGAATTGAATTGAATTTCTTCACATTATCACTGTGTTTTGAAAACCTACAAAACATTGTAAATGGTTAGAATCAATCATGTTCTGTGAGTACAGAAAATGTTAGGGTTGAATGATGGGGGTTTATGAAGATAGGACTAAGTTGCATAGAATATTTAGGGTGTTTGGGAGAAGTATCAAGATGGGCTAGATTATGCTGTTGAGTCAATTGAAGAATTGCAAAGATGTTGTCTTTCTAAAATCTGCTTAATAGCTGATCATGAATTATGCATGTCTCCTTAATGGCCCATTGAGGGTTTTATTTTGAAAATATTATGGAATGCCTGAGGGTCAAGATGCCTGTAGGGCAAGGCTTGAACAGAACAATATGTGCATGTTTTCATTTTTCACTCAGAAAGCGAATTTTGAATGTTAGAGTTGGCTAGGGAAAGTTGGTTTGTGTCGTGTGGCCAGAGCACTCTTCCAAATTACTCATACAGGAACAGGCAATAAAGGTTTAAAGCCTTTTATTCTAAAGAACTTCAAAGCTACGCAGGCAATTAATAATACAGGAGCTTGTTAATGGCGGTTCTATACAGGACAGTTGTCCCCTCCTTTGTGACCTTTCTCAGATTTATGACGTACTCTTCACCCGACGCGAACGCCCCTCCCTTTGAGGGCTAGATAAACTCCTTTCTCTTCTCCTTTTGCTTTCCCTTGACTCTAATTGTCCCAAGCTGCGTAGCCTTCTCCTCTGTTGAGCACTCTCTATAGCAACGGCCTGTTCAACTGGTTGCCTAGCCATGTTGTCTATCTGAAGAATGTTGCCTTCCTCTGGCTGAAGAAAAACATCAAATTCAGGAGGTGGGGGGGGGGGGGTGTTTGTGCAATGGGCACCAAGTAAAAATCTTCTTGCTCTAAGGCCTGACTCTTGCTGGGAGCTTCTTGTTCTCTCACACATGCTAACGACCCCTTTGAGTCGTTAGGCACGACAGTTTGGGAGCACTGTTCTAGGATTTCACATACTAGATGCATGCAGGATACTTTGGGTCCAGCACTCTTTGGCAGAGGACTTGCTTGCTTTCCATCAGCTCAACTTATAGATTATTAAGCATTATACAACTCTAGCACTCTTTCCTTTCTCTCTGTAACGCTAACCTGGACGTGGGAAACATGAAACAAAATAACATGCTTTTATCATTAGCAGCATCAGTGCATGGCGATACACTGAGAGCAGTTAGTACACTACCTTAAGCAATTTTTTGCCATAACCATTTTAAGAAAAGGAAGCAAGGCAGTTAACTTCAAATATACATGCATAATTAATATAAATAGACCATGTTTATGCTCTTGCTTTAATTCCAGGAATTATTTGATACGCTGTGTAGATTTTAACTTTATTTTTTCTGCCCCCTTTTCCAGAAAAATCATTTCCGTTTGGAGCCAAAATTATGAGTGCAAAACGGACTCTCTAAAATTTGGGTATGGCAGTGCTTATACCATTATTGTAGAAGCGGTAAGTTGCTAAAAACAAAAAGGTTGGAAGCTGCAAATTAGTTCTGTGTATCTGTAAAAAGTATTGAACTACCACTAGCATTTCAACAGTAGTTTAAGTAACTGTTAGAATAGCACATTATTTTATAAATGGGGAGTGGACACAAGTGGGGTATTGCAGAGTTCATTCCTGGGCCCAGCACTCTTCAACATTTTCATTAGTGACTTGCATGAGGAAGTGCAGGGAATGCTTATCAGATTTGCAGATGACACAAAACTGGGTGGGATAATTAATACCTGGAAGACAGGAAGAAGATTCAGGGTTGTCTTGACAGGTTGGAGTGCTGGGCTGAAAACAACAGAATGACGTTCAGTAGAGTCAAATGCCAAGTTCTGCACCTAGGAAAAATCAAGCAAGATGGGGAATACTAACCATACTGCAAGTGAGAAGGATCTTGGAATTATTGTAGATCACAAGCTGAATATGAGTCAAGCTGTGATGTGGCTACAAAAAGGGGAAATGCTATTTCAGGCTGCATTAATAGAAGTATCACTTCCAAATCACATGAAGTACTAGCTCTCCTTTACTCAGGACTGGTTAGGCCTCACCTGAAGTACTGTGCCCAGTTCTGGGCACCACAGCTGAAGAAAGATGCAGACAAGCTGTAAAGGATTCAGAGGAGGCAACACAGATGATCCAGGGACTGGAAAAAAAAGCCCTGTGAGGAAAGATTGTGAGAACTTGAAATGTTCAGCCTTGACAGGAAAAGACTGAGGCTGTGATAGCACTCTGCAAGTACTGGAAAGGCTGTCACAGAGAGGAAGGCCAGGATCTCTTCTTGATTATGCCAAAGTGCAGGCCACAGCATAACAGGCTCAAGATACAGGTTCCATTTAGATATCAGGAGAAATTGCCTGTTAGAGCAGTACAGCAATGGAACCAATGACCTTTGGAGGTAGTGGGCTCTTCCACATTAGAGGCATTCAAGATGCAACTGGACAGCTATCTGAGAAAGATGGTTTAACATTGAGTCCTATATTGAGCAGGGGATTGGACCCTCTGGCCCTCTGGCCACTTTGGACCCTACTATTCTATAATTGTATGAATTATAATTTATACCTTTAGTTTTATGGTCTTTTATGTCTCACTACACCACTACTTATCAAATACTATACTATAACATAAGAAAATCACAAAAATAGTATTGTATTGTTATATACAGATATGTCTTGATAATAGGCTACCATGCCAGTATAGTTTCTAACAAAAGTTGCAGTGACTTAGTTTGCACATAGCAGCAGTGATGGATTACTTAACTCACAAATGCTGAAAACTAGCTGGAGTGTGCACGTGTACTGCATCTGGCATATTCCTCACTTCTACTTAACTTCTACAGTTGCTTGGAACAGAAAAGATGTTGGCTGGAAAATATTCAGCGTTATAGGACATTTTCCCTTTCTAAATGGCTGTTCTTAGTTGTTAGTCAGGTTTTGCTTTAACTTGAAGGACTCTTAAAGTTCCATCCTGCTATATATTTAGCAGTTATTCACATTTTATATTTCGTCAGTATCATGGTGGTATAGTCGTGGATATGTGTAACAGTAAAATAAGAAAGTTTTTAAGTTACTGTTTAAATAAAAAAACATTTTAACATTGTGCCTATTGATTTATTTTGGCTAATATTACAGTGTAACAGCACGGGGCTAACGGTCAAATATGTAGAAGATATTCAACCCAACACAGTCAATATGGCTTGGCAAATCCCCCAGTACTTCATTATTACTTGTGCTGAAGTTGTCTTCTCAGTCACTGGGCTCTCATTTTCATACTCACAGGTAAATTACTTTATAGCAGTCTTGGTTACCACAGTACAGTTCTCTTTTCACTGATATTTGCATAAAGTGCTTACCACATAGAAATTCATCTAGCTTGGGCATACGAAAGTAAAGCTACTTGATGTGCAAATTTTGTTGCTTTGGGGACTGATTCAAAAGTTGTATTCCAGAGCATGTTTTTTTTAACCTGCCATCAATTATGAAATACAACTAGAAATTCCTCAACTATTAGGATTGTCTGACTAGACAGGGCCTTACATCTCTTTACCAATTGTATTAAGGTTGTTCATTTAGTAGCTGGCTCAGATGTGTGTGCCGGTATGTGAGTGTGGGAATTTTCATTGGGACTTCAGTGCATGGAGAGGGGAGGTTAACACCAATGAATCCCTTCAAGGAGATTCCTTCCCAGAGCTAATAACAGTGGCAGGGGGATTTCACTGTGGCTACAACGAGGGTGGTAGTGGGGAAAGAGATACCCCTCTCCCCTCCATTGGCTCAATGAAAATATCTGCCCCACACCAGAAGCTGCTATGTTTTTTAACAACCCTGATAGAAACTACTAAATAGATGATGTGACATTTGGAAAGTCTATTATGGATCAAAACCCAAATAACTGAAGGTGTCTTTCAAAACAACATGCAGAGCAACTAAATGCCTTCTTTTTGCAGGCACCTTCCAACATGAAATCTGTGTTGCAAGCTGGCTGGTTATTGACTGTGGCTGTTGGCAATATCATTGTCCTGATTATAGCTGGAGCTTCAAAACTTGAAGAACAGGTAAATCAACATACAGGCTTTAAGAAGTCTTTTGGTGCTACAAGTTCTCTAGCTGGATGCATTGGTAAACAGTAAAGTATGGGAGGGAATGGTTCCAGCCTGCAGCTGTGTTTAGTGTATCAGAGCTGTAGCCTTTTAAGAATGGGGAAGAAGTTGCTGTGATGTGTGGCAAGAAACCAACATAGCATTGCAGCCATAGTTCCGCAGTTACCTTGGAATCTTTGGCATAGGTGCTGTGGGGTGAATAGAGGCCCGGTGAAGAGCATTTTTCCCTCATCCCCTGGGGGTTAATACATGCTGGAGGACCATGTGCTTATGCTGGTGCTAGGTGGGGCCAAAGCCAACACACTCTCTTACGCATACACATGAACCCTCTTTAACAACACCCTCCCCATCCATTCACCCACATTTATTTTATTTAGTGTATGACATGCATTGCCAGGGAGTTTACAGTGCATTGCACACAATAGATGTTCTGGTGCCTCCTGTTGCAAGTCTGCTGTTGCGCTGGTGCACCATGTGGGGCTAACTAGCTTAGCACTAGCAACGTTCTCGTTGAAGTCAGTTCATCTGGGGCTTTTCTCTGCTGATCCTCCACCAAGTGTGTCCAGGCAGATCCAGCCCTAGTGCTTGCTCTCATCGCAAACTAACCCTGCAGGTTTCCCCCAGAGGAGCGGTGGTCCCTATTTATCGACTCACAGAGATACCCTGTGCTTTCGAACTGCTAGGTGGGCAGGAGCTGGGGGCAGATGATGAGAACTCACTCTGTCCTGTGAGGCTGGGCTCGAACCGCTGGAATGCCAACCATTTCTGATCGACAGTTTCAGAGTCATTAAGCTGCTGCATCACCACGTCCTCCCATGTTGTTAAAACAGACATATATCCATTCACACCCATCCACCCACACTCACACATCTATCTCATTTTCTTCACCACTTTCATTCTCCCATTCCTTACCCATCAACTACCCAACAAATACACTTTTAAAAAATTACATTTCCCCTGCTGGGTTTAATTGCTTTGCAGAAGGGAATATTCTGGGAGAAGTGAGAGTTTCATTCACTGTTCCAGCTGTTATCCTCCTGAAACTCTCTACCCCGCCAGATACCATGTTTCCCCAAAAATAAGACTGGGTCTTATATTAATTTTTGCTCCAAAAAATGAACTGGGGCTTATTTTCAGGTGATGTCTTATTTTTTCATGTACATCAATCTACATTTATTCAAATATAGTCATGCCATCTACTGGAACATCGTCATAACTCTCCAAACCCCAAATTGTGTTGCAACTGATGTACTAAATGTGTCCATCTGGCTGACGATCTTAACTGAGGCTTATTTTGGGGGTAGGGCTTACATTACGAGCATCCTGAAAAATCAGGCTAGAGCTTATTTTCCAGTTAGGTCTTATTTTTGGGGAAACAGGGTATATATAGAATTTGCATGGGAGCTGGGGCCAGAGCTGGGGAGGGAAGACTTCAGGACAGATCCAAAGGTGCCTTGGACCTGCAGTTTCCCCTCATCAGTACAGCTCAATGCTGTATTCCACTACTCCAAAGTATGTCCCATTAAGGTACTAATTTGTTGTCATTAGTAGCAAAGTTGTGTCCGACCCATCGCGACTCCATGGCCTTCCTGTCCTCCCCATCCCCTGGAGTCCACTTATGCTCACGCTGACTGCTTCAGTGACTCCATCTAGCCACCTCATTCTCTGCCGTCCTCCTCTTCTTTTGCCATCAATTGTTTCCAGCATCAGAGTCTTCTCCAGTGAGTCTTTCCTTCTCATTAGGTGGCCAAAGTATTTGAGTTTCATCTTCAGTATCTGGCTTTCTAAAGAGCAGTAAGAGTTGATCTCCTCTAAGACTGACTGGTTTGATCTCCTTGCAGTCCAAGGGACTCGCAGGAGTCTCCTCCAGCACCACAATTCTTCGGTGCTTAGCCTTCCTTATGGTCCAGCTTTCACAGCCATACATTGCAACTGGGAAAACCATAGCCTTGACTATATGCACTTTTGTTGGCAGGGTGATGTCTCTACTTTTTAGTATGCTATCTAGATTTGCCATAGCTTTCTTGGTGTATATGGAACTGCAGCCTAAATTCTCAAGTCTCTTCAAAATGACACTTGTGGGGTAGTGTTGTTTCCTGAATGTTCTTCACTAAAGGTGAATCTCATTTAGACTTTCCTCAGAGACTTTCCTCATTAAACATATGAAGAAGGGGGAGTAGGTTGATGGTGCTAGTCCTGAGATTTGCAAAGGAATGCCTATATGCAAACGTGCATAGGCCAATTAATAACATTTAGATTTGCATAAGTATGTGTGTATTTGTTTACAGTGTGTGGTCTGAAGTCTGTAGTCCAGATAATTGCAAAGAATAGATCAGTGCCATTCCCCTGTACTGACAGATGAATTACTAGGGAATGTAACTACTCTCCACATCTGGAATTTTTAAACTTTTGTACAAAAGCATGTGGGCAGTATTCACAAAATCTAGTAATCCTGAATGGTGTTAGTTGGGATATGAGTTTCGGAATACAACTCAGCTACAGGATAAGGTGGTTAACAGGAAACATTGACTTATAAATTTTCAAAATATTTATTTATTACAATGCACTAGCTTGTAACCCCCTCAATTATGAAGCAAACCAAGTGAAAGTTTCAACAGGATTCCAGATATCAGAACTTCTATGTTAAATGCCTATCACACCCTGAAGAATTGACTCAATCCATTGTCATTGTGCACTTACCCATTGCCTGCAGCCACCCCTTCAACCTAAGGATTTTCCAAAGCATCACTAAATTTGTCCAACTACAGTAATGCTACTTCACATGAATATCTAGCTGGCCAGTTTGTGGCACATACAGTGTGGATTCCCAAGGTCATTGCAACTCTGTGGTAATGTCTGAAGCACAAAAATAATTGCCTCTGAAGTTCTTCAAGCTAATGCAGAAATGCTAACTCATTTACTATAGTTTTATGTGCACAATTCCTTTTTTATATCTGTAACTAAATCTATATATTCTCTTCCCAATCCCTCTTTTTACAGTGGGCAGAATATGTTTTGTTTGCAGCTTTGCTTGCTGCAGTTACAATTATTTTTGCTGTCATGGCTTATTTTTACACCTATGTTGACCCGGTTGAAGTTGAAGCTGAAATTTCCAAGAAGGAAAAGGAAGAGGATGAAATGAAGATAGAAAAGGAACAGATGACTAATGGAACTGGGCCTGTTGCACAGACGCGGATGTGAATGCATATTCAAGGTTGAATGAGAATTCTAATCTGCCACCCAGTTTGAGACCCATAAGTGACACTCTTTTGCCACTGGACGAGCTCTTTTGCCACTGGAAAGGGACAGATGGGTAACAAGATGCTCACGCACTCCTGAGATCAGGACAGTTAAGAAACCTGTTTTGTGTGACTACATGAGGAAACTTGTGTTCTTTCTCAACAGCATTTGCACTTAAAGGGAGCGGGGCGAATCTGAAACTGATTGCACAAAACCCCAATGAAAATATATTCAAAGTATTATTTTTATACAAAGCTAACTTTGTGAAAGTAGAAAAAACAGATCTAGCCATTTGTGTCTCATGCAATGTATAGGCCCAGGTGGGAGGGGGGAGGCTTCCTGGAGTTTTAAAAGATTCTATCATACAAATAATGACTGTATTATATGTAGTTTCCTGAAAATACATTTCTGAGCCAACTAAATGTTTATGACTGGTATTGCACTAGACACCACTTCTTTCATTTTCTGCCAAAGCCACTGCTAGGTTGCCACTGTGGAGAAGAACAAGAGGGATTGCATTGTGAAGAAGCAAAGGCAAATGAAATAAAACGGGGATTGCAGAAACAACACAACCTAGTATGAATTTATTTTCATAGAGGGATAAGAGAGCTGATCTTTCTATGTCATCAGTGTCCAGGCTAAGAATAGAGTATTCTTAACTCCCACTTTGAGAAACACTACCATATTGCTTATATAGGCGTATCTTTTTAACATCTAAAATGGAAGTGATTTTTTTTTTTTTTTTGGCAGAGATTTGCAACTGATGGAATGTAGCAACAGTGGACAACTTGTGCCCTATCACATGTTTTGGGACTGCAACTGCCATCATTTGGCTATTGACTGTACAGGCTAGAACTAACAGGGGTCAGAGTCCAACATGATCTGGAGATCTTGGTTTCCCACCTCTATTTTGAGGGGTAGCAGAGTGAGGTTCTCTTCAGATACCTGCTGGGCAATGCTGGGAAAATGAAAATAAGATGCAGCAGTCACAATTAGTAGCATAAAAGGAGATTAAATAGGGAATTAAGAAGATAAAGCTCACCAAAATGCTTGGAGGTTGCCTAAAACCCCAACAGCAGATGCTCAGTTACAACTTTACAACAGGCCATGAAATTTAGCACCAGAGCACATCACCATGGTTAACGTGTGGTGTTCAGGAAGCTCTTACTGAAAATTTTTCTTCCAGAAACCGGAAGTCATGCCCAAATGAAGAGCACAAAAATGGAACACAAACATGAACAAAGGGATTGCAAGTAGAAAATAAGGGATACAAAAGGCTTTGTGGAGCAGCATATCAACAGCAACAATAGTTTGTTAAAAATGCCAGAAATGGCAAACTGACCAGAGAACCAATTGGACTGTTGCACAGGAAGGGAGTTTGAGGAACTGAACAAACAAGTGACAAGAAAGGAAGTGCCTTTGGCAAATTAAAAAAGAATAAATGACTGAATCTAGATAGTGTTCCTCTCAGGCGTTCTCAAATAACTCGAATGTGAAATTGCTGATCCTCTAAACAAAAATATGCAATATTTCCAAGGCAAGCCTTTGCACTGGAGGTCTGGAGTGACAAATTTAGTCCTGCAAACACAATGGAACCAGTGAAGGCACTGGACAGTATTGATTACAGTTCATTGTGTTTAGAATTTGGATGCTAGAAAATATTTTCAGGATTTCTCTCAGTTTTTATTTCAATTATATATTTAGAATTTGCTTCTAAAAACTGCTAGTATTGGACCAGATACAAAGAAAAAACCCAGTCAGCAAGGAGGAACTTTATGGGCCTTATCCAGCTATAGGCTACATTTTTAAGATTACAGAATCATGGAACACCTTGTGAAGTTGTATGTGTAGGAACTGGCAAATATTGATCTAGGCCTTCGTAGCAATGCTCTTGAGATACAGCCAAGCCTACTACAGCATGGTGCTATCAGGGCAGGAATCCAGTGCCCACACAGCATTCAGTAGAATGAACAGGAAGGTCCTCAAATGTGACAGGAAGGTCCTCCAAATGTGTGGATTGTCATAGTTGGAAGGAAATGAAGTCATATACTGCCATCTAAATGCCTTGGTATAAGATCAGAATTCAGAGTCTAAAATTACCAGTCTCTATTACTCCCACTTACTATAGAATTTAGAAATTCTAGATCTTAGCAGCCTTCCTCATGGAGACAATGAAGATGGTATACATGTAACTCCTTTCTTGGCCTAAACAATGGTGCCTTTTGTGTAATTGGTCCTTTGCAACCAGTTCAAGCAACACCAATTATTTTAATTGTATAAGCTTTCAGTTGTGGGTGTGACACTTGCTAGGTTAAACAGAAACTGCTGATAATGGATCAATCCCAGAAGGAATTCAATTACAACTTAAGCATTGTTATGAACAAGTCCAGCTTTTTCTTGCAATCTGTGCAGATACATGGAGTTCTATTGAGAAGGGGGTCTCCTGTACAGCAACCTTCAAATATAAGGCGCCACTGTGCTGGCATTTTTATTTTAATGCAATCAGTGCTCAGGAGCACACATTACTGAACAGCACAGTATCTACCATGTTTAGAATATAATTGGGTGCTACACACAAAGGCATACTATTCTAATTGCAGAAGTAGAAGTTCAGAAGGTCACACATGTTTGTAGCAGAAGCTCATGACAATCCTCAGGATAGTGCTGAAATTGCAGAGGGCACTAGGAGTACATGCTGCTGCTTTCCTTTCCTTTTAGTTCCTCGACTTCTTGAGCACTTTCCGTGCAATGAAGGTTTAAGATAAAGTGCATGGTGTTTCACAGTTGCATAGTTCTGTATATGTGCATATAACTGAAAAAATGTCATGGAGGAGGAAAACAACTAGAGCTGGTGGGAAGGAAGAGAGCAAAGTAATGGTGCTATTTTTGGTTGCCATTGGTGCCATTTTTGGTTATCAGTTGTTTTTTTTCCTACCTGCAAATCCCATTAAACAAAATGCAAGTAAAGAGCAGGTAATGAGAGAAGATGAGTGAGCAGGGAGAGGTGGGAAAAATAGCCAAAACAGGTTTGACAGTTTTAAAGCCACTCTTACCAGTCAGATTTACAGTACTGCTAGCTGGGAAGGCACTTGCATTCAGAATTCATGGAAACCACAAGTACAAGGAAAAAGCATAATAATTTGGGATATAGAATATTGAGGGAGAAATAGTATCAACACAACAGATTTGAGTATACTCCATATGAGAGTACTGTGATAAAAAAACGCATATAGATTTCCCCATGGTTAGGTTGTGTTTTGATTATTTTGGTTGATTGCAATTCTTTCTCTTTTGATCTGTCTTTCCTTTTCCTATCTTGTACCTGCCTTTCAAGGAGGCAGAACTTTAAAACAAGCATGAAACATACAAAACAGTGGCTGCAGTTTACTTTCTTATTTACAAAAAGAGGCTGTAAATGGCCACTTGACTGGTTGGCTGTAGTGGAATTAGACCACCAGCCAAAACATCTTTTCTCATAAGTGCCAACAAAGAAAGCTGTGTGCCAGTATCTCTTGTGTTCTTATTTGCAAAGCTGAAGTAAAGGTTTATTGTATAATGGTCTGCTGATCGAAAATGGAAGAAATTTTATACTCTCAACAGGGCTGACAGTTCAATCTTCACCATTAGCAACACAACTCAATACTACATCACATCTAAGGGTAGGCTTGCCCTTCAGTATGTCCCAGTATGCTGAGAGGATATGATTCCACTTGCATGTCCACTGCTAACAAAGGTTTAATAACTATATCTCTTTACCATATGCACAAATTCTTTAGTGGCTAATTAAATGTGAAAATCAAGAATATAGCAGTATGATTTAGCCATTTAACTAGGATTCATCTTTATAAATGAAATTTAAACATTTAGTTTAAAAGATGTGGGGAATCTTTTTGTGCTTGCATGCAACCTACATAAGCACAGTGCAGTAACACTGTAATTCTATTCTACGTACTTGGGAGTAAGCGTCATTGTACAGCATTGCTCTTATAAATCCAAGAGAGGGAGGGTACAAAGCAGCAGGATTGTCCTTTCATCCCTGCACTACCTTCTAATAAGAACTCTCTTTAATGCTGCAAAATCCTAACCTTTTTTTCTTTCCTGTTAAATGCTAATTTATCTGATCCTCAATTTCTCTGTGATCCCTTTAACAACTAAATACCACAATCAGCAGAATAAGGGGGTGCAACTTCTGCTGAATAAAATCATTTCAGACGAGTGCACGGACAATAATTTTGAACTCCACCTGCGCAAATAAAATGGCTGATGCATCTGCTGGCCAGGCAAATGCCTTGCACATAATTAATAAGCTGCTGAGGGAAAAGGGCTCCTGCTTCTAACATACTTCCTATTGCTGCGCAAGCACTGCAGAACGTTATCTGGGGAATTTCAGGAAACAGAAGGATATATTTCAACCACCAAATAGTTCCTGGTATAAACTCTCTATATATTTCTACAGGTCGTTGTAAATACTGATATACAATGATCCATAATCCACATCTGAAAAACGGAATCCCAGTGTATTGGGGGGTCACCCAACCAGAGCTTTTCTCCTTGCCAGCAGACAAAATACAGCTGCTTTTCATTAACAAACAAATCCGGCAGACGGTTACCTCTGCCGTGCAATGGTTAGCTTACTCCTAAATATCTCCAGCGTCTTGAATTTCTTCTTCTCTATTCCAGCGTTCTAACTTTCCTAGAATGCCTACTCTTCCCTATATCATGGAAGGACAGGAGGACCCATGTAAAAGAGTGTTTCACGGACTGAATCTCGGTTTACTGCTTTGTGGACACAATCTATTAGGGTACACTTCTCTAACTAACCTTGTCTCTTCGGGAATGCTGGGAACTGTAGTTCGATGAGTTGCCTTGCAGAGTCTTGCGTCTCCCAAAACTACAATTCCCCTAATTCTTTGAGTGCAGAAATAGATATGAAGGTCGCATAAATAAGGCACCACCTGTTTATAAATGTGTTGGAGGAGGGGAGATGGAGGTTGACTCATTCATTCATTCATTCCCCGGTACTATACATTTTGAGCCATGTCCATTCATTCCTGAACTGTGTCGAAGCGTTTGAAACCCAAAATGTTTGAATGGACTACCCGGTGCTGGGGCTGCGGGGAAATGGGACACATATTTTTTGCTACGGAGTCTATGAAGACTGGAAAGCTTGTAGCACTTGGAAACATTCGCTTACAAAGGTTCCAAAACAGTCCTGCTTGCATCAATGTTTTCTTTCTTTCCCAGAGAAAACACACACCCATTTGATGCCAGCGCTCTGAGGAACTGAACCTCAAGGTTAATGACTGGGAATTCTTGCACTGGCTTCCTTCACCGAACCTCGCAAAAGAGGCAGAGCCTAGCAATAATTTTACCCAGAAAAGGTTGAGAGGAATGCGGGCAAAAGGATAGGGGGGAGGGGAAAGGCAAACAGCGGCGCCCCTTTCCTCCTCCACCAGTTCCGTCCAGGACTGGGGCAGCTGCCCAGTCAGCTACGCGTCGCCCCGCCCTCCCCCGAATGCCCGGGAGGAGCCATGCGAAGTCGGACCGTGAATATCACATTTAAACAATCCAAGCGGGACCGCTGCCATGTAGAGCACGCTTTTATCTGCACTCGCGGGGAATCGAGCTCGCCTGCCCGTCCCACAGAACTCTTCCGCAGGCGGCTCGGCGCTAGTTACAAAAAATGGGGGCAGCGGAAGAGAGAGGATCCTAGTGTCAAGACGCCGTGGGGAAGCGGAAGAGGCTGATAGGGCCGGTCGGCCGCGTGAACAGCGTGGCTCCGCCTCTCCTGCCCCGTTCACCACGGAGGCCGGAGAAAGAGCCGGCTCCGCCTTCTCCTCCCACCCGGCTGTTCTGCGTGCGCACGCAAGGCTTCGTTCGCACGTTCCTTCCGTAGTCCGTTGGTAGCTCGGGTGGTCTTGGGGAGAGCGAGAAGGGCGTGGGGGTGGCGGCGGTGATGGTGCTGAGGTGAATCCCTGGCTCTTCGGAACTGCCTGAAGAGGGGAAGAAAGGCGGAGCGGCCCGGCGGCGGCGTAGCAGCAGCCGCCGCAGCAGCAGCAGCGCGCTGCTTCTGCAGCTTCCGTCATCATGGCTCACTCCCCAGTGCAGCAGCCCGGCCTGCCGGGGATGCAGGTGAGAAAGCAGCCCTCTGCCCCCCTCGCGTCGCGGCTTGGTCTTGGAGCTGCTCCTGCAGCCGCAAATGAGAGGATACGCGCTGGACTACCACGCTGGGTTCTGGGGTGTGTTGCCCACAGCCCTCCCCGCGCCCCAAACCCGCAGTTGGGTTGGTTTAGTGACAGGCAGCGGTTGCTTTTCTTTTTGGGGGTTGTCCTCGTTGGGAAGGTGGAAAGCAGTAAGGGAGGGAGGGGGATTTCGGGGTGACTGGGGTCAGTGGGCCGTCTTAAGTGATGGGGGAAGCAAGGGGGTATCTGGGTGTGATGGAGTAAAAACTCCCGAGGTTGTGCCTCTGGCCATGAAGGAGGGAACATTGGCATTTTGGCTTACTCTGTTCAAGGTATTACTCAAACTGCCTTCTTTTCAAATTTAAGGGCAATCTCTCTCTTATCTCTTCCATTTATTATTTATATGGATTCTTTTCTTGGGGCTGCAAGATAAGATTAATGATTTAATTATATAGCTCCTGTGGCCCTTAAAGGATTCTTGTTTTTTGATCCACTAGAGGTAGGAAGAATAGTTGACCTTCAGGTTGTCCTGTGCTGCCCATCTGGATAAGAGTGGGGTGCTGCATGGGAAAAATAAAATGATTCTAATGCAAAGTGGTAATTTCTATCTGGTTACGCACATATTTGTGTGCATTCATGTCCCCCAACAATGACAGACAGATTCAGAGATTTGTAGCCTTAGATGTTCTCTCCGCCTGTCCTCCTCCTCCCTCTTTTTTTTTAAAAAAAAGCAAAATCCAGGTATGATAACATTGTGATGTCATCTTTGCAGTAATCTTTGGAGTGAACAAGTAAATTTTAGCTATTTCATTAATTCCTTCTGGTATTTAATAAAGGACCTTAGTTTGACTAGATGGCCTGGGAGGCCCCTTCTGACTTGCTATGTTTCTATGCTTTAATATAAGTTCTAGGCACCCATGACTTTTTCATGGGGTGGAATAATTCAGTTATCTTTTAAGACTTACTTGTCATTTCTTCTGTAAATGTAAACACAACTTGAAAACTGGATGTCTAATAGAGAAGTTGGTTGTAGTTAGAAACTTCAGTATAGTTGTAAGTCTGCACTTTTACCTTGTGTTCTAGGACATACGGAATCCAGTTTCTCAAATTCAAGAGCACGACATTTTGATGGGTTTGGAAGGTTGGCTCCTGTGGACTGCAGCACTTTGCAAGCTGTTGGTGTCAATGTTCCAACCTGCTTCATGCACAGGGAAGACTGATCGTGTTGTGGCCAAATAAGTGGTGGGAAGATGACCTGTGATCCATCAGATCTTTTGCATAGGAGAAAGAACTTTCTTTTCACCAGAGTTGAGTGACTGAGTTACTTCTGTACTTCTTGATCCTTCATAGGTTGCTACAGATATCATAGAATAGCAGAGTTGAAAGGGGCCAAGAAGGCCATCGGGTCCAATCCCCTGATGTTGCAAGTCAGGAGTTCACACCATCCCACTCAGATGACTGTCTAGTTTCTTCTTGAATGTTTCCAGTGTTGGAGAGTCCATGACCTCTCTAAGCAACTAGTTCCATTGTCATGAGCAGAGCCAGCTGGAGCTGAGGGTCAGACTAAATGGCCTGGGAGACCCCTTCAGACTCGCTCTGTATGTTTCTATATTGCTCTGACAGGAAGTTTTTCCTGGACTTTTCCTTCCTCTTTGTGACAGCCTTTCAGGTACTTATAGAGCAGTATGATATTTCCCCTCAGTCTTATCTTCTCAAGGCTGAATGTGTCCAGTTCTTTCCATCCCTCCTCATAGGGCTTTTTTTCCCCTGGTCCCTGAATCATTCTTGCTGCCTTCCTCTGAACCCTTTCCAGCTTGTCTGCATCTTTCTTAACTTGTGGTGCCCAGAACTGGACACAGTACTTCAGATAAGGCCTTGCTGGTGCTGAGTAAAGGGGAGCTAGGACTTCACAGGACTTGGAAGTGATACTTCTATTAATGCTGCCTGAAATAGCATTTGCCCTTTTTGCAGCCACATCACAGCTTGACTCATATTCAGCTTGTGATCTACAACTATTCCAAGATCCTTCTCATTTGCAGTATTGTTAAGTCAAGTATTCCCCATTTTGTATTGAGGCATTTGCTTGTTTTTTCCTAGGTGGAGGACTTGGCATTTGTCCCTATTAAATCAATCAATCTCTCTCTCTCTCTCTCTCTCTCTCTCTCTCTCTCTCTCTCTCTCTCTCTCTCTCTCTCTCTTTTGTTTTCAGCCCAGTTTTCAAGCTTAGCAAGATTGCCCTGGTTCTTCATTCTGTCTTCAAGGGTGTTTACTATTCCACCTGGTTTTGTATTGTCTGCATATTTGATTATCATTCCTTGTACTTCCTCGTCTAATTAATAAAGATGTTAAAGAGCAATGGGCCTAGGACTAAACCCTGCAGCACCCCATTAGTTACCTTTCTTCAGTTCAAGAATGTGCCACTGATGAGCACTCTTTGATGTAGTCAGTTTTGGATCCACCTAACAGTTGTTCTATCTAGTCCAGTTTTATTCTAGTCCATATGAATGGATTGTGCTTTGTGAATCTAGAAAGCAGGACAAGGGAGAGGTGAGGTGTAATTTCTGTCTAAGACCTGCCAAATAAAGACACAAAATGGAAGGGGAGAAAAAGTGTGCCTCCTTTTTGGGGTAGTGCACTTAAGGTACAAACATGGTGGGAAGGGCAAAATAGTGAGACTATGTTGTAGATCATATTGAGGTTGTTTGTACAAACCTATTTCCTTGGATTTCCAGACTTTCCAGAACCAAAGCAGAATGGAATAAGTATAATTGTGAACATCAAGCTGCTAAACCAGACTGTACTAAAGAACAGACAGAGAATGAACTTGTAATAAACTCTAGGATTCATTGTTTGAGTGCTACACTTTTTTCTGTTTTAAGTGACTTTGTTTCTGAAGAAGTACATGCCTCAGAGAAGCAAGTGGGAATTGAGAAATTTCCTGTGCATAGGCAGAATGCATCAACAGACAACTGACTGTCTGCAGGAGAGGGAAAAAATCATGATACCTGGTATAGGAACCTGTAGGATATGATCTGCAGGTCCAGGACACTCATCCATATCTGGAAGTCTGAGGTAGAGGGGCAGTTGCTAGTTTCATTCATGCTTCTCTTCAAGTGTGGTAGCTGCATCTCACTTTGTGCCATCTGCCACCTCCTCTGGTGGTTTTCCCTCTGTGTCAGCTATGCATGATGTGATGGTGCTGCTGCTACCTTCTCTTCCTTCCTATCTCTCTGTCACATGCAGCGCTTAGCTGCCACCATTGGCTCTGTGATTCTCTGCCTCTCTGCAGCTGAAGTGGTGGGCTTAAATTTGGTGGCAGGGAGGAAGGTAGTGGCAGCTTGGGCATCTGTGCAAAAGCCATAAAAGATTCCAGAAGGCTGTGGTTTGCCTGCATGTATATAAGAATTGATGCTACATCCCACAGTTGAGGAACAGTGTCTAAAGGGAATTTGTTAGTGCACATGTGTATAGTTAATATGCATATGTGCCATATAGCCTTGTTTGGATAGAAGTACAAATAAGACCACCTGAAATGTAGAGACCTTAAGCAAAAGGACTAAATGTAGCTAATAGGAACCAATCAGTTCTCAGTTTTCAAGGCACACAAGGGATTTTTGGGAAGGATGGAGAGGGAGGGTGTTACACATTTGTGCTGCATTCACAGAGATTATGCTTAGATACTACTGCTTGTTCTTGCCTAGCTATCTTATATACTGTGGATTGCAAGGGCAGACAGCATCTGTTTTAGAAGTATCCAGTATAGAAAATGCCCCAGGGGCCACAGGGTAACAAGCAATTATTCATGACCAGCCTATGGGAACTGCTCAAGGGCACCCCTTTGAATGCCTTTTGGATCATCAACATTGTGTGATCAACTGTAAAAGACTACAGACCTTTCAGCAAAATATAGTTACTCCTTTTGAAATGTTAGTGAAGTTGTTGACAAAAGTAAGAATTATACTGATGGGATCGGAGAAAAATTCTGAAAACCAAGTATGAAAAAGCATAAGTAGGACCTGTAAGTTTACACACAGCCTCAGTTTACTGATTAAAAAAAAAACTTTTACATGTTTTGAGCTCATGAATGGTAGAATGTTTGTTCCATATGTCAGTATATTCTAGTATATCATCATAAAATGGGATCCAAAAAAGTATCAACTATCCAGAATATAATTCAAACTCAGTTTACCTTAATTTAAACAGCCTGTCTTGAATGACAAACAAATTCACTGATATTAAAATAGCAATATTTCTGTTAGAACATTCTGATTATATCTATTTCAGTTCAACAGAACTCTGTTCCATTCTTATTGTATTAAGTCTTATTCTAATCAACATTTTCCATACCCTTGTAAAACCTAACCAAGTGTGTACATTTTACAATATATAGCTTGTCCTAAATTCTTCATACCCATTTCTCAAAAAGGGGACCCTTCTGAATCCTTTTACTGCATGGATTTTCTTATCCTATTTCAATCAGGTTACAAAACAATCTCTTTATGTCATAGTTTTTAGTATTTTTCAAGTTCTGTTCATTCTGTTTATTATGTTAGCTCAGTCTAATAGTAATTTATTTCATTAGTCCTTGGTGTTACTCAAAGGCTGGTAGCATAATTTAAGAACTGAAACCCGCAGCCTTGTAACTCCAAGAAAGTTACTTGTCTACATATTTTTTTCTCCCAGCCTGTCTTGCCTGTGTTAATTATCTGGGGTCATAAATGGAAAAAAAATGCAATTCCAATTTTTGGAAAGCTTCCCTAACTGGTTGCCTGGAGGCATTTCTTGTTCACCACAGGGGACCAGGTTAGTTGAAATTTCAAATAAAATACACACAATAAAAGAGTATATCCTCCTTGCCTTTAATTGTTCCTTCAGTAACTTACATGCCTTTCTGATTTCATATTGTTCTCCTGTAAAACTGGAATAGAGAACTTTATTGTTCCTCATAAT